TATCTATTTTGGTTTTTGAATAAATCCAAAGAAAAAAACGGAAAATTTTATTGTTTTTCAATATAGCGTACCTTTTTGACCAATTTAACGATTTGAGAGGCATGGCATAATAAAAAAAGTTTATTGAAGCTGTTATTTTTTTCGAGTAAAGCTTTTATATCTCTCTATAAAGTGTATAAATTTCATTCAAATCGGTTAATTCGTTTTTGAGAAAAAAAATATTTTCTGATTTATCATTTTTTGGATTTATTTAAAAACCAAAATAGATAGAGGTCTAAAATTAACGTATCTTATTAGTACCAATATACATACCCTCAAAAAATAATCCATCTGGGACCGATTTACTATGCTTATAGTCCTACAGCCTTTCAATTCATTGTTTGACCCCTTAGATAACTCAACTTGACTTGCTTTTATATTGAAATAATTAAGTCAGGTTAATTTCTTTACAGCTTGAAAATTCAGGAGATCCATTAGACTTCGACAACCCCCACCCCCTTCCGTATTGGACATGTGTCTATTTCCTTATCGTAACCATGTCCACGGTTGGTTATGGTGACGTTTATTGTCAGACTGTCCTTGGAAGGACCTTTTTGGTTTTCTTTCTCCTTGTCGGATTGGTACGTAAAACTTTTATTTATTTATTTATTTCTACTTCATTCTCAATATAAAAAGCTTTCTCTATTCTATATCTTATATAAAAGTCTGCATTATTTATGTAAATGCATCTCTTTACATTCACTGCTTTGATTATTAAAACGTCTAACAACAGAATAATATTTTTTTCTGGAAGTCGGTATTATACTTTCTCATCAAGACGATCATGTCCCCTTTGTTATTTTATCCCGTCCTTTCTAAATCCCGGTTCACATAATATAATACAAACACCTGCAGTTGTAAACTGTAGCTTACGTTAGACTATTAATTAGAACGGTTTTTGTAGGCAATACTTGTTCCTTGATTATGATTCTTCTCCTACCCAATTACGTGATTTCGGAAAATGAGATGAACTACAGTCTCGCTTAAAAGTAATCAACCGTTCGTCTGTGCTATCAAATTTGCAAGCAAATTGCCTAATAAAACCGTAATTACATACCTAGTGTGTAGCTTATAAAAAAAATGTAATTTCGCATGACTGGCGCTTTATGCTTTCGTTGTTGTTCTGTTTAAGAAATTGCTAAACATTTTCGTCCAGTACTGTACAGTTCTAGCCGATCTCCTAAGACCGCCCATCGAGAGCTCTGCCCGTTCAAGCTTGTTCCAACTATTTCTGTCTTGCTCACGCCTAGTGTGTATTCTTTCTATTTTCGCGCAGATTTCTTTAAGGTCACAATTCTAACAAATTGAAATAGACTGTATCTTCTTTTTCGCTCTTTCGCTATGGAGGAGGCTGAACCGATGCAAAATAATGCGCCCTTCTCCCTTCATGATTTCCGCAATGAGTCGTACTGTGCTGTCGACAACTGTGTCTTGTTTCTCTTTCTCCCTTTTTCTCTCTCTCTCTCTCTCTGTCGTGGTATGTAAGCGGCAATTGAAGACCGCACCGATACCGCATAGGGTGCGCTTCCCCTCCCAATGTATTCTTTTTCTTATACAGCAGTTATTAAGTAATATTCATTTAATATANTTAATTACTATTCCATATCCACGATATATATATCATTTCTAATTTACCTACATATATATCGATTTATTATTTTACTATAGGTGGTAGATTAAATTATGAAGAAATTTTATTGATTCCTTTCAGGTATGACGAGCAACCCGTCGACGATTAAGCCGACGTATGATTCCTCCATAGAGACGTTCACAAATGACACAATCTCGGTAGACACATCATGCCTTCACGTCCGAAAGTACTGGTGCTTCCTGCTGTCCAGCATTTGCACCTTCCTCGCAGGTCTGCTCATTGTCCTCATATGGAGGGCGTTCGCGTTCCTTTGCTGTCGCAAGGAAATCGAATATGGACCGAACGATCCAAAGCAGAAGGAGCAAAAGCTTGCGCGGCAAGGAAAACAAGAATTCGAAGGCACCTTTATGACCGAGGCGAAAGACTGGGCAGGAGAACTCATCAGTGGACAAACCACCACAGGAAGAATATTAGTAAGTACAATCAGATGCTGCAACTAATCATTTCATGACAGTGCGTCAAGTCTTGTTGTTCAGCTGACAGTTGTACTGTTCGTTTCAACAAGTTGGAAATATGCCCCTTCCCTTTATTAGAATAATTCCAAATTCAGTCATATTTGCCTGCGGAGCTCACTTCTCTACCAATGATCGAGCGAGAACTAGACAAAAGTGTACAGTGCCACTTGCAAAATTATTTAAACTGCCTCGTTAACATTTAAGAATATGCTTTATTTAAAAGCATATTTAGCCAAAAATAATAGCAAGTGAATATTCTACTAAGCAGG